CTTCTTTACCTCCTCTCCCAAGCCATTGACAACTACTAATCTGCTTTCTGTTTCTATGGGTTTTCCTATTTTAGATATTTCATATAAATGGAATCATAACAATATGTTGCCTTTTGTGTCTGACTTCTTTTATTTGCATAATGTTTTCAGGATTCATCCATATTGTAGTACGTTTCGGTATTTCATTCCTTTTTAAGGCTGACTAATATTCCATGGCGTGTATATGCCACATTTTCTTTATCCATTTGTCTATTGGGCATTTGGGTGTTCCTGCCTTTTGGCTATTATGAATAGTGCTTTATGAACATTTGTGTACAAATTTTTGTTTGGACAACTTTTTCAATTCTTTGGAGTATTTATTTTTAGGAGTGGAATTGCTAGATCATATGGTAATTCTTTTAACATACTGTCCTTATTACTTTTCAGCCCAGTATTTCCCAAACTGTGGGGCGGTGCTGGGGGCTCACTGATAACAACATTGAATGCCAGTTATTTTCTGCTTACCTTCCAGTACCTCTGATTAAATCACAGAGAATCTCAATTTTGTATTAATATGGCTTCCCAACAGCTGTGTTAATTTCCCTTTTAACAAATACAGAGCAGGCCTGATGCTTCAAATCTTTTGGCATGCAATAGTATCTAGCTGAAATTTAGTATTTTTATTGTATTTCCTTTCATTGTTACATTTTTTTCTGTAGCAAGTGATACTTATTTCACATGAACAATAGTGAAAATAAAATGATACGCAGAATTTGCAAAATATAATGAAGATTGATTAGAAATATGGTAAAAATTTGTAGAGATGATATGAGAATGACTTGAAGTTTGGGAAATAGAGACCTGAGCCAGGACAACATATCCCTTCTCAGCCTTTCCCATTTCCAATCACCCTTCTATGCCATTCCCAGAATAATGTAGAATAACTTGGATGGTGTCATTCTTTTATTCATAAACATTTAATTCCCATTTTACAGAGTAAAATTCAAGGTTGTTTAGCTAGACATTTGATATCTCTCATTCTTTACTCCAACAGAACCAACTGAATTATTATTTTTAAACTCACTTAATATTCCCTACTACTGTACATTTTCATGTCATTGCTGTAAGTTCCTTTCCCCTTAGTTTATGTTGTCATTTAGTCATTTCATTTGCAAATATTTATTAAGGTTCTGATACGTGACAGGCACTGTACCCTGGGCTAGGACTACCGTGGCTTTCCTATTGACTTATACTTGTGAAAGAGCAAATATTAATCACAGGGATAATTCTTTAGTGACAGTTGTGATAAATAGGGTGATGGTAAAGTAGAGTGTTATGGAAACAGATAAGACAAGTAATGTAGCTGAGATTTAAGGGGTGCTTTCAAAGACAACCTCTTGTTGAAAACATCATTTAAGCTGAGATCTAAGTAACTTGTAGGCAGTGCCACTTCAGCAGTACATATTCTAAGTGACTAATAGGCATTAGCTTAGTGAAGGAGTAGACAGAGGGAGTAGTACGTGAGATGGGAAGGATCATGGCTCAAGTACTATGTTCTTTCATATGTTTATTTTGCCATGAAGAAAGTTAAGTATACAGTATCTTTTCAATAATAATGTACTGGTCTATACTACATTACTTTAAAAAATTTATGCTGCTCTCTTCCTATGAGTCTGTCTCTCTTTTGCTTGTTAGTTCAGTTTATTCATTACATTCCACATATGAGTGAAATCATATGGTATTTGTTTTTCTCTGACTGGCTTATTCACTAAGCACAATGTTTCTCTAAAAGCACAAATGGTAAAATTTTCTTCTTTTTTATGGCTGAGTGGTATTCCATTGTGTCAGTGTGTCCCATAGTTGTTTTATCCACTCATCTGTTGATGGACACTTGGGCTGCTCCCATATCTTGGCGATTGTAAAAACGCTGCAATGAACATAGGGGTGCTTATGTTCTTTCAGGGGAGGGATTGAGCAAAAAGGAAAAAGGACTCATAGACATGGGCAACAGTGTGGTGATTGTGGTGTGGAGGGGTGTAAGGAGACTAAATGGTAATGGAAAAAATACAATAAAAAATAAACTTTGTGCTACTCTAGTGGGTAATAAAATAAAATAAATTCATGTCTCCCCCCCAAAAAATTTATCATGTAGCCCTAACTCAATGAATTTTTATTTTTAAAACTCTCGAAAAAAATCACTGTAAATAGTCAAATATTAGATCTACATCTTCAAACTATCTTGGGAATTTATATAGAAGTCCTGTTTCTATATAAAAATTTATGTAGATTTATGATATATAATATATATTATGTGTTTCTACACCATACCTATATTTAATATATATTTGTATATTTATGCTATATGTTACAAATTTATACTGTTTATTATCTATCATGTGTTTATACTATATATCTATATTCTATGTCATTGTATAAGTACATGATACAGGTTACACAGATTTATATACAAATCTCCTGGATAACATTTTGTCTTCTCATCACTATGTGCAGGCACTCATCAGTAAGAGGGCCTGTTAGGTTCCAGGCATCCTCCTCTGCTGTTTACTTCTCTGTCAATTCTCTGATCCATATTATGTTGGCTCTTTGATATCAGTGGGAAAGATATACACAAGATACATTAAAATTGGTCTTTCTTTTTTAGCCCTGACTAGTGTGGCTGAGTTGGTTGGAGTGTTGTCCTGTAACTGAAAGATTGTGGATTTGATTCCCAGTCAGGGCACATTCCTAGGTTGTGGGTTCAATCCCCAGTCTGGGAGCATATGCTTATGCTTCTCTCTCGCATCAGTGTTTCTCTCACTCCCTTCCTTTCTCCCTTCCTCTTTCTCTAAAAGCAATGAAAAAAATGTTTTCAAGTAAGGATAAAAAATTGTTCTTTTTTTTTCAAATAAACAGAAGTATCCTTTTTCGGTAATTCTGTAACAAATATTTTTTGTTTTTCAAACATATAGGTGTCTATATAAAGAGTGCTGTATAAGCTAAGGTTTTTGGTTATAGCAGAGAAATCAACTTCAGCAGAAAAGGAATTTAATTGGTAGTTAAAGAATCCAAAGAATACTGAAGAATCAGGCTTGGAAAATGGACAAAAATCTAAGGGAGCCAGGTGACGAGAAAATCTAGCCAGGCATGCTTCGCGAACATGTGTTAGGATTTACACAGCTACTAGTTTAAATAATTTTCTTACGTATGTCTGAGGGGCCAGCTGGAGTTCAAAGTCTAGGGGTGGCCTGGCTGAGGCCTTGTTCTGGCTGCCAGGAAAGATCTTCCTTTGGCTTCCCCTTTTTGGTCTCTCACCAAGACTATCATTATAAGGGATTCGCCCCAAATAAGAAGGGGGTTTGACTTAGGAAGGCCCCTTAAAAAGAAAGGCAATTTTTCCTTCACAAGTACTCATTAAAATATATTTCTAAGCAATTCTCTGTGATCACAGATAGTTGTATGCTTCTCGAAATACACGGTGAAATTGTTAAAGACATATCAAAATTTTGGAAGACATATGATTGTTTCTGTTTTTCAAAGTGTGGACAAAAGAAGGGACCACATACTAAACCTGACAAACTCTCAGAGAAGGTCTGCATAGTGGGCCTTATAAACTCAGAGACCTGAAGTAACCCCATAGGATGGTCCAAAATTAAAACTTTCTAATGAAAAGTGAGTCATGGTGGGTAGTCATGTCCTAGGCCTGTATCTTCCTTTGACAAAAGTCAATTTTACTTTAACTTATTTAACCTGCCTGTTGTCTTTTTGCATCTAAGACAACATGCCTTTGGAATTTCAGAGTAATTTCCTTTTTCGGACCCCTCAGAGCACAATCTCCTACCAGAGCACCAAGACCATAGGGCTTGTCTTGCTAGCTTGTTGTCCAATATCGTCTCTGTGTGCCATAAATATTAATTGTTAATTATCTTGTACACACCAATATAAAATAAGTATTTGTCTCTTCATTCTACTCTTTATCCAACCTCAGAGGTTTCCCCTCTTTGTTTTCTCCTGCCTCCCTAACCTACCACCAGTGGATTTCATGTAACCCTCCTTACATCTCCTCTTCGGATTGTACTGCATAAAATAAGCGGTGAAACTGCCATTCTCTAGAGCATTTTCTCAGTCATTGAGATTTGGCTTCCTCGCAGTTATCATCAGTTTTGCTTAAATAAACTCATAACAATTCTCTATAGGTTTGGACATTCCTAACGTCAACAAAAAGGTTGTGGTATTTTTTTTAGAGAAAAATGAGTTTGATTCTTTTTAAAGTAAAACTATCTTAGATATTCCTAAATCGTATCATATAGGCATGACTTAAAAAGATAAGATTATGTATTTTCCTAAGAAAAAATCACAAAGTAAAGATGATTGCCAGATATTCACATAATATTTTTTTTTCAACATATTGTTTGGTAGACAGAAACATTTTATATTTAAAATTTGTCCAAAATATGGCTACAATTTACAAGAATAGATGAAACCAAAATGCACAGTAAACACACATATCCTAATTGCTTCAGAACATCTCAATGAGAAACAAAGTTGTTAAAATCAAATTGATACCAGAACTGCTAATTCAGTTATGAAGTATATGCATTCTTACCAGTTTCCCTTAGCTTATCATTTTTTTCATAGTACATTTCATGAATGACAGCCTTTTTATAAAACAAGATGAAATATAAGAACTTTTTTCCTGGATATATATGTGCTGTAAGATTTGCATTAAACTTTTGGGGGAATGTTCATTATATACATAGATGCTTTTGACTCATAAGATAATAACTTCAGAATAATGGTAAAATCTCCATTATAACTGCAGATTTTAATATGGAATATAAGTCAAGTACAGACGGATAACTTAGAAATGTTTTCATTGTCACAGCAGAATAGTTATAAAATCAAATCTTCTAGAAGTTTCCCTAACCTATAAATGCATGAACATACATTGCAATAGACAACAGAAAGACATTTCTCTATTACAGAATCCTTATCATTTCAGCATAACAGTTAAATTTGTTCTGAATTTTCATATCCTTTTTTTCCAGGACATCAGATGTTTTGATGTCTTAAAAATTTCATCTCTCGAGCTTTCTGTAATGAGAAAATGAGAGTTTTATAAATCTGTGCTGTTCTTGTTTCCCAGTGATTAAGAGCTGACATGTAAAAACATTAAGCAAGAAAGAAAAAACTAATTATAACCAAAGACCCCTTGTAAAAACAGTTCACACAAGATCTAAGAATCTTTCTGCAGTTGTCTATTTTTTCAAAAGATCTGTCTTGCATTAAAAATTATAAAATGCAAGTAATCTGGTAACCTACCTTTATGATAATACTTGCTTGCTTCTCTTTGGGATTTAGGCATCGCTGTCCTTTATGTGCTTTCAGGGTGATACTGTTAAGGGAAGGTCCAAACAGCCTTAAATTCTGGATGGAAAAACATAAACAAAAAGACCCCCAAATGCCTCCACCATTGTCATCATTAGCAAGTCCATTACTTACATCACTTCTGTTTTGTCACAGTTGTTACTTGGGTAAATTATAGAGACTTTCTCAATATTTGCCACTTTTACTGCTTTTACTCCAGGGCCTGTGCAAAGACAACGTCCTCCTTTGAACATTGGGAAACCTAAAATAGATCATAGCATCAGTTACTGAAGAATCTGATTGCAGCAGGTGACTATGGTTTATAATCCTGATGATGAATGTAAGCCAAGTTTTTACTAAGGACAAGGTGGTAATTTGTCAAATAGCACTTGACACTGCTCTCGCTGGGAGCGGAGCTTAAGACGTTAATGATTTTCTCCTTAAATTTGTAAGCAAACCATTAAGGAATAGAGGACAGCATGAAAGAAACTATCTTAGATATTCCTAAATTGTGTATTATAGGCATGACTTTAAAAGATTAGATTATGTATTTTACTAAGAAAAAAATCACAGAAAGTAAAGATGATTGCCAGATATTCACATTTTTTCCCCCAACATATTGGAGATCAAGCTTATTTGTCTTGCTTTTATGCTCAAGAACTTTTCCAGGGAGCTAGTAACATAATCTCACAAAAATCTCTTTAACAGACATTTAAAACTATTGCTAAAGGCTCTTGCCAGATTTTGTAGCAAAATTAAAAAAAACAAAACTCCATGATGTTTGTCATCTCTAGTTTTAATAATTATCTCTAGTGCCTCAGACATTTCTTACATTCTCTACAAAGCTGTAGTAACTTCTAATGTGTAAAGTTAAGTAAAAATGTAGTGGAAGAAAATACACTTGAAGAATTAGAAAAGCAATTTATAGGCTGAGAAGTAAAAAGTACCATATACCTTGCACAGCTGTAGCACAGAATATCACCGCCAAGACTATAGCCACACCGTTCACATTCATGTTTGTTGCTGCTTCAGCTTTGATACTCTTCTGGGAGGGAGTAGAAATGCTGAGCATGGTAGCAAATTCGTAGGTGGCATATAGTAGGGCATTTTATACACCAGAAACACTCTAATGAACCAGGAATTTCCCTCCTTGAGTCATGTTCCTGTCTTCTTCCAACAGTTTGGCTTTTTCCCTTTGTTTGTATTACAGTGTCAAAAGTAATACTGATGTGAAAGCACTTTGTACTGTAAAAAGTAAACAGCCATACACCAAAGTAGAAACTGACCTTTCTTAAGATAGTATTTCCTAGAAATATATTTCTGGGCAGTAGAATTCTGATTACCATTCATTCTTTCATTCAGGAAGATTGTCTGCCTATTTGCAGTCCTTTCATCCTCTATCCATCACATAACTATACAAAAGAACATTTTTAAGAAACCCAATTTCTATCATGTTACTTTTGCTTTTAAGTCCAAATTTTTATCATTTATATAAGTCCTTTGTTATTTGACATCAAATGACATTTATTTAATCTTATTTATATTTTTGCCAACTATACTTTGATATCTAAAAAAATCATCCTGTATACTTTGAATTTATATCTATTTCTTTTTGCATATTTAACAGTTTTTATTTTATATATAGTAGCACTGTTATTTAACATATAAAGTTGTATGAGTTGTGAATTTTTAAAAAACGACCCCCTTTTCTGATAAAATGTTTTGTGTCTTGGGTTGTATTTTGTTGTAACCCCTGTTTTGTTTTTATCTTTATCTTTTTCTTTTAAGCTTTCTAAATCTTTGTTTTAAGTGTGTCACTTATAGACACTTAAAAAATAATACCCAAGGGATTTTTTAATGGGTAAAATGTATTTACTGTGTAATTGGTAATCTGAAAGATTTTAAAATGCTTTTTTGCTATTTCCTTTCTGTCTTTATGTTTCCTTTGGTTTCTTCCTAATGTTAAATATATTTTCTTTACCATTTTTCTTGTGTGTTTTGAAAGAAATACATAGTTTTACATTTTGCTAGTAATCTTTTTAAAAATTTTATGCATAAACTAGGGCTTGATATTCCATGACATACTGTTTTAAATAGGCATAATTCAAATTTTCATAAAATGTGAACTAAATCTCTTCATTTTGCCTTCATATGTAAATCACTATTTAGCTGAGTAGAAAATTTGTGGTTCACACTTTACTCCTTCAGAACTCTGTATATATTGTTCTACTGCCGTGCAATTGTAGTACATAATATTGTAAAAACATCAGAAATTAGTCTCCTCCCACTCCTACCCCTTTGGATATGCACACACATTTTTCACCCAACCATTTCCATATCAGACTATGCCAGGTCTCTAATTTTTCTGTATGTCAGTGTGTATTCTTAAATATTCTAGGAAGGAATGGGGGAGAGACAAGGAGAAGGAAAAAATCCTTCCTCTTCCTGTGAGGAAGACCACCCAGCAGTCTGTAGGGCGGGTGCTGCTGCTGCTTGTGTACGACCCCAGGAGACGGGGCTCTTCCCACCCATGTGGGTGCAGTCTTATCTGCTGTCCTCAGAGCTGAGGAGCAGTTGGGATGCTGAGGGAGGCTTATTTAGTTCTTCACTTAAAATCCTCAGGTAATAGATCAAAGTTATGCAGAGTTGGGAGAGGGATTGGTTTTGTACCTCATTTTCCTGAATGATACAAAGAGTGAGGATAATTAGGCCCTGGCAGGTGCTAGTGTGGACAGATCTTCTCTCCTTCCTTAACACTCTCCCTTTTTACTACCTCTCCCACTGTCCCTGCCTTAAAATTTATTGGAAAGCACCACCTTTTCCTATAGTAGTTAATTTGCTCATTCATTCATTTAACAAATATTTATTTTAGATGTCTCTTACATGCCTGGCGTTTTTCAGTATTGATGATAGAGCAGCAAACGAAACCAACCAAGTTCCTTCTTGTGTCTCACAAATTTTGCAGCTTTTTAACTAACTGATTGTAGAAGATAGTCTGCCTGAATTTCTGCCATTTCTGTAGATGTGTGTTTTCAAGACTATGACTTGTTCTGGACTAAATACTTTCTAATATCATGTGATAAGAATTAATTTCTTTCAGAATATTCCCTTATCTAGTGAGCTTGAGAGATCCTTCTTTCTTCTATTCATATTATGTTTCCTCTAGTTTTCTCTCCTTTCCTGAATCCTTCTCTTTCTTTAAGTTGTAATATCTTCACGAAGCCTTCTTCAATACGTAGTGATTTCTTTTCCTGGCTTTTTAGCACTTGCTATCTTCTCTAGATTTATCCTGTAGAAAATATAATGTGAGCCACATATTTAATTTTATTTTTTAAGTACATTTTATTGATTATGGTATTAGAGTTTTCTCATTTTTCTCCCCTCTATCCCCCTCCACCCTGTCCCGCCCCTGCCCTGTAGCATTCCTCACCTTAGTTCATGTCTATGAATCATACATATAATTTCTTTGGCTTCTCCGTTTCCTATACTTTTCTTAACCTCTCCCTGTGTATTTTCTACCTATCAATTATGCTTCTTACTCCCTATACCTTTTCCCCCCCTCCTCCCCCACTCCCACTGATAGCCCTCCATGTGATCTCCATTTCTGTGATATTGTTCCTGTTCTAGTTGTTTTTGTTTTTGTTTTTTAGGTTCAATTGTTGATAGTTGTGAGTTTGTTGTCATTTACATAGTTTTGATCTTCCTCTTTTTCTTGGATAAGTCCCTTTAACATTTCATGTAATACATGTTTGGTGACAATGAACTCCTTGAACTTTACCTTATCTGGGAAGCACTTTCCTGCCCTTCCATTCTAAATGACAGCTTTGCTGGATAGAGAAACCTTGGATGTAGGTCCTTCCTTTTCATGACTTTGAATAGTTCTTTCCAGCCCTTCCAGCCTGTAAGGTTTCTTTTGAGAAATCAGTTGATAATCTTATGGGAACACCCTTGTAAATAACTCTCTCCTTTCCTCTTGCTGCTTTTAAGGGTCTCTCCTTATTTTTAATCTTGGGTAATTTAATTATGATGTTAATTAAATTGGTGCTTCTTGGGTCCAACTTCTTTGGGACTCCCTGAGTTTCCTGGACTTCTTGGAAGTCTGTTTCCTTTACCAGATTGGGGAAGTTCTCCTTCATTTTTTTTTCAAGTAAGTTTTCAATTTTTCCTCTTCCTCTTTTCATTCTGGCACCCCTATGATTCAGATGTTGGGACTTTTAAAGTTGTTCTAGAGGTTTCTCAACCTCTCCTCATTTTTTTGAATTCTTGTTTCTTCATTCTGTCCTGGTCAAATGTTGATTTCTTCCTTCTGTTCCAAATCTTTGATTTGAGTCCCAGTTTCCTTCCCTTCATTGTTGGTTCCCAGTATATTTTTCTTTATTTCACTTTTCATAGACTTTACTTCTTCCTTTATTTTGCATTCATACTCAATTATTTCTGTGAGCATCCTGATGACCAGTCTTTTGAACTGTGCATCTGATAGGTTGGCTATTTCTTCATCACTCAGTTCTTTTTCTGGAGTTTTTATCTGACCTTTCATTAGGGCCATTTTTCTTTGTCTTGGTGCACCTGTTACATTGTAAGGGACGGAGTCTTAGGTATTTACCCAGGCAGGGCAACACACATTGCCGCCTTGAGGCACTGTATGTGGGGGAGGAGTCAGAGAGGGAATAGTGCCACTTGCTCGGCTCTCACCCTGCTTTTTGTCATTTTCCCCACTACTCACAAGCGACGTGCACTCTTCTGGTGCTGATTCCTGGGTGAGTGGGTTTGTGCATGTTCTAGGAGCTTGTGGACCCCTCCAGTGGACTCTCCTGCGAGACTAGGAGTTTCTCCCGCTGCTGCAACCCCCACAGGTTTTTACAGCTAGAGGTTTTGAAGCTTTTTTCCCTGGAGGTGGAACCCTGGGTTGTGAGGTCTGTCACTCTCCAGTTGTTGCACTTTATACACACGTGAATGTGGGATGCCCAGTCCACCAGCTGCTTCCTGGCCGCTTGTCCTCTCTTCCGCGGCTGCCTGTCTCTGCCCCTCCTATCCGTCTGGGTGAATGTTTCTTCTTTAACTCTTTGGTTGACAGACTTCCATACAGTCGATTTTGTGGCAGTTCTGGTTGTTTGTTTGTTTGTTTTTTAAATTGGTTATTATCTTTCTTTTGGTTGTGTAAGGAAGTGAAGCATGTCTACCTCAGCCTCCATCTTGGTCAAAACGCCACATATTTAATTTTAAATATTCTAGTAGCCATATTTAAAAAGTAAAAAGAATTTAATAATTTATTTTACTTAATCCAAAACATGAAAAAATTATCATTTCCATGTGTAATCAATATGAGAATATATTGAGACTTTTTTTTTTTAGTACTAAGAATATTATAGGAAAAGTGGTAGCCAAAGAACTTACATGCATGACCCATGAACATGAACTAAGGGGAGGGATTTCCAGAGGGAATGAGGGGTACCAGGTGCAGGGGGAAGGGGAAAATTGAAACAACTGTAATAACATAATCAATAAAATATATTTTAGAAAAAAAATTTGTAACAGAATTCTGTTGTTTTGTATTTGTAGAAGGCAGATGACCCACTCCTAGGGAAGAGATTGCCATATATGTGATAGGCACCTAAAATAATGTGAATACACTGAACAGATTGAGATAGAATCCTTAACTCTTAAAAGTACAGTAATATAGTACCTGATGCTCTTTCAAAAAGGGATGAAGACATTTATGGAGCTGCCAGAGAAAATTTTCATGAACCCTTAATGGAATACTACCTTTGTGATTTTCTTACAACATTTAAATACTCTTCCCCCAAATCAGACAAATTGTGCAAGGTATGTCCAAGGCAGCTATTAGGCACTGGGCAAGGCTGTGTTTTTCAAGTCTTGGAAAAAGTTTTAAAAACAATTTAAAAATCATTAAGGCATTAATTAATGTGTATATTTCATTACTATTTGAAAGCATGCCTAAGAGAGAATTTTGAATGAGGATATTTCTTAGTCCATACTTGATCTGATTCTGGGACT